AGTGTGACTTAGAATATCGGATGCTCCGGAAACTGCCCGATAAATTCACTCCTGTTCTCTTCTGGCCAATCTACATACCAGATAATGATTACTTAAAATAAAACTGCATCCATCAGTGATTTTAAAAACTAAAAATATTTCATTCTGTTTAATAGAACAACGGTTTAGATCAGAATGGATCTTAAGGCACCAAGCAGATAAAAACCAAGCTAAATTTGATGCTTTCCATTTGAATGAAGAAGAAAAAAGTTAGTAAACTGCGTTTAAGGAAAACAAAAGAAAAGCCAGATACATCCTGTGCTCTGTGAAGATCTTTTAAAGGAGACATCTCAGCTCTAAAGCTGGTGGGAAGGTCCAGATACTCATAGAGCCACTAAAGCTAAAGACTTTGTTTTGAAAAGATGAAAAGGAAAATGATAATCTTGTACATTTAGCACTGATGCGTTCCGTTTCTCTGGTGGCTGCAGACATTAACCTGACTGATCAGAACAGTGAGCAGTAATGGCCGCTGTTTTCTAAAAGCTTTATTTATGAGTAAGCATTTGAAATGGGGCAAATCAACGGAGAAATTCTGACATTTGAGTCGGAATCCTGAGGACTAATGCGGCTTTTAGATCCGCCTCGTCCAAAACGCTGAAACAATCCATGAAAAACGTCCAATAAATGAGTTTTTCTCTGAGCGATCGGGTGATGTTATTACGGGGACGCTGAGTGAAGTCATGCTCACTTCCTGCAGAAAACAGTTTGTTTGCGTTTCCTTCTTCCCATTCCTCCATCACAGTCAAACATTCTGATGCATATTTATATATACTTTTATATCTATGTCTTTATATAGCACATCATAGGCACACACATTCAGGTCAGAAAAAAACAAAGATTCATTTCCGTCTAGCTTACTAATAGTGGTCACTAACTGAACACCCACACAGGAACTCTGCTGCAGAGTTTACTGGAGAAACTCTCCAGTTTGCAAACGCTAAAAATAATTCTCAAAGGTTGTTTCGCTCCTTATAAAACCCCTGAATGTCGGGGGGGGGGGGTGCATTCACACTAGCATAGAAAAGGAAGAACAATATTTGTTTCTTTTTTATATCCACATAAAGTTTTTCTTTGACTCGTGACATAATGAGCTAAGTTTCTTCTTTTTTTTTTTCCTTTTTTTTTTCTCTGATATACAACATTACTCTGTCATTTAAACATTTGGACTAAACATGACTAGCTTTATATGAGAGATTTCATAAATATGTTACATCTCAGAAAGTTTGAACAGAAATAAATAAAAAAAACAAAAAAAAAACAAAGTGCAACAGACATTTTTTTTTTTTGAGACCACAAACACTTCTGTGAGTACATGTAAAGTAAATATTATTGGCAATAGCTTCGATTTTTCCATAGCTGCACCGAAATCAGCTAACAGTAGCTACACAGAGATTTTCTTTAAATCCGACTCACGTAGCACAGATAGAAGCCGATGCAATGACTGGATGTGGGCTAAGAGGCGAGCGCTGTGGCTCTCTACACACATCTCCTAACGCCTGGGTGCTTTTAGGATATTTCCTGTACTCCAGTGTTTGTGTATACAGTGTAAAATGTGTTATACAGTATATGTCTATCTATATAATACAGAAGTTGTGTTTCACAACAACAGTACAGTCTTGTTTTATCATTCTCTCCTGGGGTCTCAAACAAACAAAAAAAACTAAAAATATCTTAGCCTCTCTTAGAGCAAAGTGTTGCGGAGAGGTTTAACGTGCTGGTTGCGTAAGAAAGGAAGTGTCCTGAATGCTGAGAAGTGAGCAGCTCTGGATCCTAGTTTGTGAAGTTTAGTTAGCTTATCCTGAGGTAAAACATTTTGTGCAATGCTTAAAGAAAAGGTACCAGTGACTTGTTGAAGGGTTTCCCCCCCTTCGTTGGAGCTGTGTCTTTATGCACACATGAACTCCCACCGTGTGTGGGGTAGGATACGTGACCGGGTCTGCTGCAAATCCAGTCCCCCGTTGCAACTATTTGGCTTTCCGACGCCGATTTTAGGGGAAGGTACGCCTCAGACAATCAAAGCCCTGCACACTGTAATGCTAATGTCATTATCCAGTTTACTCATTTAGGCGGCGAAGCGTGAAGAAATGGAAGAGAACGCTTATCTTTAGCTTCCAGAGTCAAAGGTGACGTCTTCAAACTGCCAGTTTGGCTCTAATGAAAATAAAAAAAAAAAACCTGGAGAAGCTCAATATGCAATTACAACACGAAGCAAAGTTTTTAAAGCAACTTGTGTCGATCCGCTAATCTAATTTCTCTACAGTAATCCATTACAACAGTCGTGTAATAAATCTTATTTACAGGCTACAGTCTCGACTGATTTTTCATGGTTTTTAATCTAATAAAACGTAGGTTTCTGCTCCAGTACGACACGTTAACTCGAAAACGGACGGATTTTCTAAAAGCTACGACGTTCAAAAGAAACCCCGATGTCTCTTCTCTCTCGGTCCAAAAGTTCCGTTTACTTTATCACTGCAACGGCGAGAGGATGTGAGGATCGTCCAGGATGGTGGAGGTTTATGTGAAAAGCCTGAGCTTGGAGACGTTTTACCAAACAAGGTCGAGTAAAAAAAAAAAAGAAGAGCAGCCCTTTAAGCAGTTTTGAAGCTGCTTAAAGTGCATGCTTCATTTGGTTTTTGTTCCCCTTCCAATCGGTTCTATAAAATATTAAAAAATACCACTGAGCATGAGACGAGATGGGCCGCCAGTGGGCAAGGCTGATGCTCATCCTCCATATTTACCTTTGGCGGTACTTATGCACCATGTTGTCCCTGAACGCAACCCTCCAGGGTTACATTCCCCTAAAAACACAACGGCACTACGTCAGAAAAGTGGCATACAGGGCGATTTGCAGAAGACACGGCCACCGTGTGAGCGCTGTGAGTCCAAAAAAAAAAAAAAAACAGAAATCTGACCTTCATGACCCTTAACTCTGCATGCTGTCATACCACATTGTACAGCTTGTAAGGCTCCACTGCAAGTGCACAACAGTAGGACACTCTAATGTTAAACAAAAGGTAGAAACAAAGCAGTCAGAGCAGCGCTGTCTTTGAGCTAAGAATTACCGGGCATGGGTTGAGTCAGTTAGTCATATTTCTGCGTAAGGAAATGATTTTTGTGTTGACCCGATTCCTGCCCGTTTTGGGTTGGCTGTGACAGAGAAACAGCCCAGTATATTCTTAGTCAGATGACAGCAGCTGCATACACACACCTCTGAGCATGCACCATGCGTGCTGCAGTAGGCTCACATTGGTTATGGTGACACAGCACCCATATACAGCAGTCAAGATAATGCACATGTGCATAAAAGTTTCCAAAAGAAAACCAGAAGCACAAAATGAATACAAAACAAGAGCAGACCAATGATGACATCAAAGAGGTTGTTGTAGAAATATCTGCTTGAGAGCGTTTCTGGGGGAAGGGGCTCAGCATGTGGACCTGGAAGCTTTTTGTTTGATTTAGCTCTCCACCAAGGACCGGCTGTTTGCTTGTTACGTGTTTGACTTTTTGTTTTTTTTCTTCTAAAGATAGTTTTTTTTTTTTTTTTTGGGGGTGGGGTAGTAATGTCTCTCTGTGTTTTCTCGCTTTTTTTCTTTCTTTTAGTAGGGAGTGAAGCGACTGTACCCTCCTCTGTATAGGCTAGCCTGCAACATCAAAGATGAAAAAGTACCAATCAGTATTCAGGTGACAGCTTTAGTTGGATTCTCTTTCTCTGCAAATTTCCTTCCTTTAAAACTTATCGACTTTCCATGTTGGAACAACTTTCCGGAAGGGACCGGTCAGCAGGCAGATTGATAGTTGATATATTTAAGCCGATAATTGTTTTTTTTTTTTGCTGAATTGATTGCCTGACTGGATACTCTCTGAGTGTGTGTGTTAGGAACAGGGTCACCAGGAGCCGAAGTAGATTGGTGGATTCAGAGCTTAGCCGATGTAATTTAAAATCTGTAGGAGCAAAGAAAAAAAAAAGAGACCTTTCTTAAATAAAACTCATAGAAAAACACTAATTCCAAATTTAATAGTTGCTCTAATTAAAAAATAAAAGAAATAAGTATATTTTTGTGCTGGAGAATTCACTTCTTGCAGGGCTGTAAATTAGACATTCACCCGAAAGCAGAAGAAGTTCAGAGAGCTTTAATCACAGCTCCTTTTTTATGTCTAGCAGAGGTGCCTGCACCTATCTAGAGGGGCAACCCACCACAGGATATTAGCCCTTAGATTTAGCACCATGCTCAGGATATCTAGGGCAGACACACATAAAAGCATGCAAGTGGGCCTATGCATGCACACCTGCACATGCACGCACGCACACAGTCCCTCCTCTCATCTCTATGTGGTTCTGTTGCAATTAGAAATTCAGATAAACTCCAAAGGCTAGTGTGTTCCTTCAAAGGCTAATTTCAGGGAGTCCTCCTGCTTGTGCAAAACTTTTATTCATATTAGATGCATCTGCAAGCTGGAAATGAGAAAAGAGAGTTTCCAACCTCAGAGGAACTAATTATTGTATAGCTTTTAAATGCAAAAATGACTTCACTCTGCTGGAGGAGCATTAATCAAATATGATTAAAGAATTAGGAACCAAATGGGTCTTTCCTCTTTAGCTCAGGAGTTTATTAGATATTGGCCTCTGTGCAGAGCATCTCCCAGCAGCTTCACTGTTTAACACCACACACACGCACGTGGACACGCACACACTCTCTCGGGTCTCTGTTGAGCTTCCCAAGCTCCCAACACACACCAAACATTAGCTCTGATCGTTTTAGGGGCCAGATCCCGTCGTCTACTTTCAATCGACAGCACGTTTTTCTTTTTTTTTTTTAGAGTGAGGAAAAAATGGAAGGAAATTTGGAGGGAAAAGAAGAAAGAATAAAAAAAAAACATTCAAGCACATTTTTTTTAATTAAGTAAATGAAGAGGGAGAAAGAAATGTCTTAATTAATGAAAGCTTTTAGCTAGCAGCTGCACCGGGGAACTTAAAGCTTTATTTGTTTGTTTTTTTATGCAGTTGAAAAATTGCATGCATGCCGGAAATTTTAGTTATTTCTCAAGCAGAGAGCACGCCTCCCATCAGGCTACTGGGCAGAAGAGGACGGCCAGGCAACTCCCCACCCCCTTCTATCTTGCTCTCTGGTTTATGTCCCACGGCACGCTGCTGCATGCGTCTGATGGCCCTTAATCTCTGGGTTTGGTCTGCGAGCCCGGTCCCATCCCCTCCTCGCCATAAAACAAAACCAAAGAGAAACTGTCAGTTTCATAAAAAAAGGTTGAGCCGTTTTCTTTTTTTTTTTTTCATCTTTGATGTTACAGTAGCTGCAAAAGCTAGCTAAAAACAGACATTAACGATTGAACTTCATCCCTTTAGGTTTGGCTGAATGAAAAGAAAAAAGATGAGCCAACTCGCTCGGAGTTGAATGATGGAAGAAAAAAAAATCAAAATAGAAAAAAGCTTGAAAATGCAGAGTTGGTCAAATGAAAAACAAAGGAAAAACATTCGCATTGCAGGAAGAACTCGTGTCAATTCATGGATGCATGATGGTGAGCTCGTGTGGCAGAACATACGTTTATTGCACTAAATGCCTGAGCCAACTTCCACATGCCGGGGGGGCTTCACAGTACTGCTCAGCTCCACTAGGGTGTGCCAGAGAGCATGACAAAAACTAAATCAATTAATGAAAGAATAGGTGAATAAAAACCAGCGTCCACTATGGCCTCTGGTCTTTATTTTACAGCGTGTGCTAGCTATCATCATGATGTTAGCGTCAGGGTGCAGACAGGAGGAGACGGCGCTCTCAGAGACTTACCATGGTCCCCACACTGTATGTGGCGGCAGGGCCAATCGTGTGGTGGTAGGGGTCTGCTGTTGCATAGACTCTGCCATAGCTGCACGACAAGAGGCACAGAGAAGACAGACAGTCATTGATCTATCATTGACGAGAAGTGCAGAACAGTTATGCTTGTTTGATGCGCGACTCTTTCAAGTCGCTCGCAGGATCAATTATTCCCCTCGTCGGCCTCGTGGGCTTCCTGCATTATACAAGCTGGTTCACAAAGGAAGGTTCAAAGGTTGGGGAATTCTGCTCCTCTCTTCGCTGTCATCTTGATTAACTGAATGGAATAGGTGAGGAGCAGTGGGGGTGGGAGGGGCTTGGTCTCTTCCCCTGTGCTTGTTTACCCAGGCTGCACACTGGGCTCACACCCTCGTCTTTTCATTGCTGCTGGTTTGGAACTAATCCTTCCAATTTCCTTCTAAGACAGGACAAGATGTGGCTGCCTCATTTATTTATTTATTTGACTTCACATATTCCTCTATTTACTTTGCTTCGTGTTTTTTTTTTTTTTTTCTTTTCCTTTTTCCCACTGCTTGCTTGCAAATGAGGGTCTGCTCGGAGCAGATAAGGCACACCCAGCCAAGGACTGAGGGCACCAAATCAACCGGGAATTAGAAAAAAAAAAAGGAGAGGAAAAAAGCCCCTAAAGGAAACAGCAAGACATACAGCTTGATGTATGTTGTGTTAAACCATGTAAATAAGTCCAGCAGAAGCAGAGGTTAAGACACGATGGCGGAAAGGTTTGGCCGTGAGACGGTCTGAACCCCACGGGTCCCTATGAGGCTAATATGTCTGCAGCACGGCTATGACTGGAGCGGGTCGGACATCCGGTCCGATGTCACGCCGTCTCCTCAGAGCTTCAGCAGAAGTTTCTTCTCCCAGCGGGGCCTCTTTCAGCTACTGGTTTGGCAGACTTTAAGCGCTATCGGCCTTTCTGACTGTAAATGTTTCATATTTGACGGCGGCTTTCACACACCTTCCGCAATCCTCAGATAATTCCGATAAGGTATTGCTGAGGCAATACAGACAAACGCTTATTGATCCAATAGGAATGTCCGCTTATTTAAAAGAAAACAAACAGAAAAAGCAAAACAAACAGCCTGGGTGTGAATTGTATTAAGGGAGAGGTATGGGCAGTAGAAGGAGGAATTAAATCACTGAAAGAGGTGGGGGAAAAAAAGGGCTGCTGTCCAATTCTGCTCTCACCGAGCACGGCTGCTCATAATTCGAGCCGCAGCGCGGCCTGATAAATCTTACATTATCGATATGATCTTCAGGCTCTCGGGCAGGGTGTACGTTATCACAAGAGACATGCTCAATCCTTTCCAGATTAGATTCCCAAACCAGCTCAGATCCCGGCTGACAACTGCTTCCAGGGGCCCAGATGAATCAGCCGAGCCTCCTCCAACAGAGCACACCTGAACCAGAGTGACATCACTCAGGTTCAGACCCGAGGCCGTTCATAAATACCGCAGTGATATACCCACTCTCCCATCACAAGCACAGAGTCACGACATATATCACTGCCTTTCTCATCCAGTCCAACAAGGTTAGCCTTTTTTCCATGCATGTTCTTTAGCTCCGAGCTAAAAAAAGAATATGGTGGCATACCTAATGGATAAGATGAAATGAGAGTAAGAAAACCTCTCGAAACCCTAAATAACCTTCACAGAATACAGTAAAATGCTGATGAAGCAGCCACCATTTATCACAGCTACGTTTGGCCCGTAGATATGTTCCTTATTGTTAGGAAAACACTAATTATGTGAAGCTAAAGTCCAACCTCTGCAAGTCCTTCAGTCTTCAACCAATTCTGCTTCAGTCAGTAAAGTTCTTGTTACCAAAGATAGCTTGTCGAACATCGTATAGATGCTCCCATCCTTCTGACCTGAATCTAAAGTGTCAGAGCAGCTGCTGATGAAGAAAAATGCATCCTCTACCAGCCATAGCGCAACATAAGAGTTTAAGATTAGAGCTAATGTTGGCTTGAATGTGTTATCCGGATGAACAGGAGGAGCCAGGAGAAAACTGCTGGAACAAGGTGGCTATTTAAGGAATTATATAAGCAAGAAGCAAACAATCAATCTGAACATGGAAGAATATTTGCATCTTCAGACCCTCCTGGCTTGATGAAGTCGCTCTGATACGTCAGACAGCTGTTCTCCAACTGTTAGGGGAGGTTTCTTAATTTGCAGCTTATTTTAATTAAATCTTTGACAATTCTGTACTTTTACACTGGGCTTATTATGTATATAAACACTGTTATAAGCTAGCAGTAGGTGGCGTTAGTAGGAGGTAGCGTTGGCTTTGGTTTATACCAGACATCCCCAAAGTCGGACCTCTTCGGTCTTTGTGCTGCAGGTTTTGGAGGTTTTCCTGCTCCAGGACAGTTGATTCACATTGATGGTTGATTAACAGGCTTTTTCTGAACTGCAATCATCAGAATCAGCTGTGCTAAAGCAGAGAAACCTCTAAAACCTGCAGGACAGCGGCCCTCCAAGACTGACTTTGGGGATGCCTGGTTTATACACTAGTAGACATTCAAAATTTCCCCATTTTCCAGCTTGGCTGGTCCCCTACGATTCCTTTTTAAACATCAATCCTGGTACTAAAATATTCTGTCATGATTTGTGGACATTAAGATCTAAAGAGCAGCTCCATCTCCTGGTCAGACAGTGAAAGGGTGGAGTCAGAGTAAAAGAATATGCACTCCCAGGAACAGGAGGGGTCACTCCAGTGACTGGAAGTTGGAGGGGATTTTGCAGGGAGTTGCATGGGAGTCTGCCGCCATTCGGCTGGCGTTTGACTGGGAAAGTCCATTTTAAATGGCTGTTACTGTATATACTTTAGCTCATATCCTTCCATTTAATCATGCATGGCAGCCAGTTGAAGAAACTGGAAGAAAGTCGCGGTAATAGATTATATTTTGGAGAACTGGAATAATTCTATTGCAAAGTCAACTCACTATATCCACCAGGCTGCACAAGGACAAATATTTATGAGAATACACAAACTGACTGAAATTAAGAATTTATATAATATATTAACGATTAATCAATTATATTATTGTATGTAATACTAACCTAGATGAATAAATAACTAACTTCTAACTAATTTAACTTTAACTAATTTTTAAAAGCTTACAGTTAGAGTGGCTCAGGTTATCCTGAGCTATCTCTATAGTTCTGCTGCTATAGGCTTAGACTGCTGGAGGACATAGGGACCCCTTTTTCATCATTCTGCTTCATTCTATCTCTATTCTCCCACTCTGCAGAATCTGTTAGTTCAATCTCTAACGTTCTGCTCTCTCTGCTTTTTCTCATAGTAGCTTCATCTGGTCTGTTCCTGTTTGGCTGTGACTCCATCCTGGAGAGAAATATCAGCTGTGCTGCTGCCATCAACACCTTTGTTTCTAGATGTTGGAGCTTGGCCTGTTTTTCAGTGTAGTCCTGTTTCTCTGACTGTGACTAACTGGATGTGCTCTCTTCATCCTCTGACATGGGAGCTGGCTCGGAGCTCGTCTGCCTGGCTGTGTGTTTCCTGGATGGGGCCGCCTTTTACAGCTGCTTTCTGTATCTATGCTTCTTTTTCTATGTCTGCTTCTGTCCCCTTGAACCCCAGTGGGCCTCAGCAGATGGCCGCTCACATTGAGCCTGGTTCTGCTGGAGGTTTCTTCCTGTTCAAAGGGAGTTTTTCCTCTCTACTGTCGCTACAAGCATGCTTAGTGTGAGGGATTGCTTTTGAGTCAATGAGTCGATGCAATCAGCTGGTTTTCCTTAGATAGAAAACTTTGAATCAATCTGACTGGATGATCTGGTTGAACTGGAAAGTGCCTTGAGATGACATGCGTTGTGAATTGGCTTTATAGAAATAAACTGAATTGAAATGAAATTAATTTCCTTTAAATGGTAGAAAATGCTTTCTTGTATAATCAGATTGCACCAGCTGGCTTTCTTTCTTTCATTTCTTCTGATATTCATGCCCCAAAACGCTTCCTGGTTTATAGATATTTAACCCCACCTCGAGGTTATTACAGTAGCAGCCATTCAAAATGGCTTCTCCCAGTCAAACGCCAGCAGAATGGCAGCCAACTTCCAGTCAATGGAGTGACCCCCTCCTTCTAATGGGCGTATATATATTTTTTAACTCTGACTCCACCCTTTCCGACATGTCCCGACATGAATAGAGCTGGAAACCAGGATCAACTGGTCAGCTGACCTGATCACTGACTGATTGTGGGTGTAGAGGAGGAGAGGCTCTGCCTAAGTAGGGCAGGAGCAGGTTGTTAAAGACCTTAAAAACGGACGTTATTACTTTAAAATAAACCTTCTGTAAAAATATGTGCTGCAGCACTAAACAACTTAGTTCATTTAAATAACCTGAACTGAAGCTGCTGCAATAATTTACATTCGCTAGGGTTTTCTGATTCTTGTTCACATGACAATAGTGCAGAAATGTGTAATGCTGGAGTCACATCTGCTTTCATTAACGCTGTTGTTCTGACCCTTGATAGCAGCCTAAGGATTTAAAACATTGACATAGCATGAATGTTTCCAGCTTGAGGTCTAATTATCCAAAGTTGTGACAGCTGTGTTGAAAAAAAAAAGAGTTAGAGATCTTTTATTAGAGACTATAATTTACCGGGTTTGAAATCTTATCTGGATATGATGAAATTATAACGTCAAAACAAGCTTGAGATCTGTTATCTAAAGATGAGCTCGTGAACGATCCCGATCAAGAGAGCTTGAAGCCTCATTTCCAGATAACGAAAGAAAATTAGCCGGAGCTCTTTCTATAAAGACATTATGAAAATGTCACAACAAAACAAGCTTGATGCGAGAGAAAACGGTGTAATCGATGCATAATTAACTTTTTACCTCGCAAGATTGTGTCACTGCTGGGACTACAAAATAACTCCAGATGAATGTTGTGCCTTATGTACCAGATTCTCTTCTCACCATAAATAAAAAAAATACATATAATCTTCCAGGCTACAGATTTGACCTTTTTTATGGACAACAGTAAATGTTAAATATCCTTCAGTGTGAGTAAAGCTCTTGTTATTGGCTGCCCCTTCATGTCAATCATTTATAGAGACGGTGCTGCGTCACAACGTACTTCAGTTCAGTTTATTTTATTTTTTAGCAGATCTTTTAGT